GCTCCTACCGGCCGGAGTTCGCCGTCCAATCCATCAAGACTGACGTCCACAGTCCGCTGAAGTACAGGCAAGTGTTCCTCGCGCCCCCAACGCCTCCCACGCCCCTACCCAGCTCCTGTCTCAGATGACTTTTTCTGCCCGATTTTAGGGTGCTAGGCTCGCTACAGAACTTAGCCGCCTTCGCAGACGCATTCCACTGCGCCCGGGGCACTCCCATGCACCCCAAGGAGCGATGCCGAGTCTGGTAGCCAAGGAAGAGCTGCGATGCGTGGCCCACGTCCACCCGTTGTCCGGAGGCGTCCGCGCGAAGTGGTGCAGCTGGCGGGGTCCAGGCGTGTGCCCCGTGCCCGGTGGCCCGGCGGTACCGCGCCCGCGTGCCTAGCCTGGAGAGAAGCCACCGGCCAGACACCCCAGGAGTGAGTGATGTGCTGCCGGGCGCCCCCTCTGGCCTGACCGCGAGGGTCAGCGCTTGCATGGCAGCCCTGTAGACGCGATTAACTGTCTTCCACCCACTCCCCAAAGCGCGTTGTCATCAAATGTCCACGAGCTTCAGATTCGAGCTAAAGTAAACGCTTCAAAGAAGCCGGCTCCTTGTCTGTCTAGGAGGGACCAAGGCAGTCAGATGGATGGCAGTAGACTTGGGCAAAGTAGTGGGCAAGTTGGGGAGCTACAACAGAGAGTAGATGGGGAGGAAAGGGTGCTCCTGCCAAGTCTCCTAGGACCCTAGCAGTGAACAGGGTGCCCCCAAATGCCCCAAGGGCCATGCATTCAGATGGTGGAGGAGTCCCTGAGTCAAAAAGGAGATGAGGTATTTAGGTGGCCAGCCAAGGCACCTGGGAAGCTGCAGCTGAGAATCTGGAATTTGGATTTTGAGTAACCACACCAGAGGAGGAGCTGCATTTTAAATAGCCACTGAGAATAAAGCAGGGAGGGAGAGCCTGAGCCAATGAGGAGGCCACTATGGTCACCCAGGCTTAGAGAAGTTCAGGGAGGCACTGAGTTGGTCAGCAGAACTCACTCAGATGAGAGACCCTTGCGAAGGGAGGCCTGGGCCAACCCCATAGCCAAGTAGTTAAGGGATATGGATCCCACCTGGCCAACAGCGGATCAAATCCCAGTCCTTACAGCTTGACAGCACACCAAGCATGTGTGCCCCAAATCTCAACAGGTTGGAAAAATGGAGAAAGGGCTGTGATATGACCACATCCCGTGGTGGGGGAGGAGTGCTTTCTCCTTCTCTTTGTCTCTGTCTCTGGTGAGTACATCTCACTAGCAATTAAAGAAAGAGAGAAAGGGGAGGTCTGAGAATGGGGGAATCAGTCAGGAGTTTTGCTCAGGACCTGCTAGAACCCCAGAGGGAAGGTGGCTGAGGAGCTGAACATACCCACCCAGACCGATCAAGGCTTCTCCCTGCAGCCGCCCCCAGCAGCCTGCCCCAAGCTAGGTGCAAATGACCACTGTCGTGTCAATAAAGGCCCTTTAAATGGATTGGTCTGGCAGACCAATCCATTTTCTAAAAGTACTTGACTGTCCACTGGATTCTGCCAACTGGAATCAAAATCATCTGCTCCCCAAAAATTCACTAACCCCCAAGGCTAATGTGAGCACTGACCCTCTGACTTCCTCTGGGATCCTATCTGGAGGCTGGGGATGGAGCCCACCCTACCCTCTTCTCTCCTGTCATCAGTCCCTGTGTGGGGCTAGGGCTTAATGTCACCTTGGAAGGAAATGGCAGGTCAGTTACATTAGTCCGCAGAACCTCATGTGCCCAAAAACCTGTGGTCCCCAAGCACGGGTTTACTCCTTCTAAGAAACAGCAACATTCATGGCTGGGACGATGACCAACAATGGCCCTGCCAGACTCAAGAAACTCAATAGCAAGTGGGGTGGGTCCTGCCGAGGACACAGTACTTGGAGCCAATGAAGAATCATGCTGCCCAGGAACTTTGATTTTTATTGGCTCATTGTTGCCCAAGGACCAGCTAAAGTTGAGGGCACCAGCCCAGTGACTCCGAAATGATTCACTGAGTCCGTCTTCCAGTACAAACAGAGCAGCAGACACCATGCAGATCCATGGAGGCCTGGGACCTTCACCGTGCACACACCTCGTCGCACTGTGGAGGCAACAGGGGCCCATCAGGCTGGCCACACTCCCTGGGGGCCAAGAGCCACTGGGGCTGTCCATAGGGCATTCTGTGGCCCAAAAGAGAAGGGGGCACGCAGGACACAACAGACAGCCTGACTTGTCAGTCACTTCCTGTCTTTGAGAGCGCAGGAGGACAGCCAACAGGACCACACTAATGCCTGCGAGGGTCACTGTGGGCAAACCCCAGTCCTCCTGAGGTAGAGAGGATAGGCCTCTCTCTGCCATCCAGCTACCTTGCCCCACGGTTCCTCTCAGCCTGTTCTCTGCAAAGTGAGGTAAACAGCGATACCTACACCCAAGGGCTACCATACACAAAATGACTCTAGCACAGCTCCTGGTCATACCAAGTGCTCATCAGCCCAGGGGAGCTCTATAGGTGGAGTGGGATGGGTTGTTTTCAGCAGGCAGTGCCCACCCCAGGCCCAAGCTTACCTGGGGTGGCTTGCTGGTTGAGACCTCTGCAGAGATGCCCAGGGCCTGCAGGATGCTCTCCTGGGGGACATAGTCACCTGGGGACTTCTGGATAAAGTGCAGCAGTACTCTGTCACCCCCTGTAGTAGCAGGGGAGGTGGTCAGGGTGCCCTTGCAGGCCACCTGCACTGCACACCTATATTCCAGGAGGAGAGAGGGTAGGCCAGCCTACTGGCTGCACTTGGCAACCCTCCCCAGCCACAGTCCCACCTAGTTACTGAGATGCATGAGCAGTTCTGCCCACAGCAACCCTGCCCAGCTCAGCCAACACTCAAGTGGGGCCATACTGCAAAGAAGCCATGGTGAAGCCAGAAAAAGGAGCAGGGTGTCACGAGGCAGCCTCTCCCCATCCTACCTTTGCTGACCACCAGCAGCCCTCCACTCTGCAGCAGGTCCCCAGATAGGTTCCCCTGAATGCCAACAGCCTTGGCCTGGAGAGAGGGGGCAGGGCCCAGGTCAGCCTTGGAGAGAAGCCCTTAAGGGGCTCCCTCCACCCACTAGTCCTGTACAAAATTGGTCATGACAAACCTTGGCAGCCACATCACGCACCGGCTTCCCAATGGCGGCTGGCAGGATGCTCAAGCTGTTGTACCTGTAAAGACACCAGCTAACTAACCCAGGCTTTTTGGTGAGGACTGAGCTCCAGTGCCTGCCTGCAATCTCTCAGATGCAGGACCTAGTTCCCAATCAAGTCTTCCCATCCACCTATCTCACCAGGGGCTCAGAGATGGCACAGGGCAGGCAGACCAGCAACCAGCCCAGACCACAGAAGGGCCTCCAGCCCAACCAAGAGCAGGTTGGGCACTTGGCTCAGGGCTTGGTTGGCCTGAGGCCCTACAGAGGGTGGGCCCCTGGCTGGGTGGGCCTAGGGATCTGGTTCAGTTGATGGTACCAATCAGGGAGACCCAGGCACCAGAAGTCTCGAATGGCCCTTGGCTGAGCACAAGACTCCGAGCCTTTCTGGTGGTCTGGGCGCTCCAGCCTCTTGAGGCTACGGCTTGGGTGAGAAGCCTCATTATAGAAACCCAGCAGCCAAGAGAAAACTCAGCAGAAGGGTAACTAGAGTGGGCAATGCTACCAGAGCTGGCTTGCCCCAGGGGCATGAGAGGACAGCTGAGTAGAGGGCAGCAGGAGAAGAGGAATAAAGAAGCAACTGACACCCCCAAACCTCTCTGCTGGCAATCAGCAGATCATGCTCCTCAGCCTATGCCACCCTGTGGGTGCCCATCCCAAACACACAGACTCACCGTTTGAAGCCCAGCTCCTTATAGAACTGCTTGCTCTCATCCAGGTACAGCTCTGGAAAGCAGAAGCCACAGGTGTGTGCCTCAGGCCTGCATCCGCCCCCCTCCCATACCACCTAGACTCACTCTACTGCATCTGGTTCTGTCTCCTATCCACCCAGCCTGCTCACCCAAGACCAGGAGGGGCAGGGTAGGGTTGAGTGTCCACTGTCCAGAGGAGAGGTGGACAGTCAGAGGTGATAGGTGGAAAAGGAGGGGGCAGAATTCAGAGACTACCCTGGTCTCCAAGGCACAACCTGGATGCCGGCCAGGGCCAGGAGGTGAGGGAATTAAGATTAGCCCATAGTTTTCAAAGCCTCCCTTGGAGAAAGGCCAGGGGGCAGCCTTGAGTTCGGGGAAGAATCTCTGGACCCCTGAGGGGCGGGGAAAGGACACACCTCCGGAGAAGTAGCCGCCGTCCAGGAATTCCTGCAGGCCCAGGACCTCTGGCCCCACGCCCACCAGGCGCACGCCATGCTGGTCCAGGAGACCTTTGAGGCTACTAAGGTCTTGGGCGATCCAGCGACACACCATGCAGCCGAAGCGCCGCAGCCCGGCCACCACGCACGCCCGCTCCTGCCATAGGCTCCGCAGCTCCACAGCCTACCTAGCAGGCAGATCAGGGACTGCAGGCCAGACCAGGGCCCCACACCCTTCTCTACGAGCCGAGCCCTCAATAACTCTTAAGGACCCACCCTCAGCCCCAGATGTAGGTGCCGGGAGCGCGCCAGCCGCCCGCTTGGCCTCACCTCACCCGTCACTGCATGCTTCAAGACACACGCGCCCACACGGGCAAGGTCTACGGTGCTCATCGTGGCGTCGCAAGCCCTAGGTCTCCGCTCCAGTCTGGGCCCCCAGCCTGCAACCGAGATCACCCTTCTTGGTTCTGAGCCGGCCCGCTCTCCGCCCCCGGCCCCGCCCCCAGGCCTAGGCCCCGCCCCTAGGCCCGGCTCCCGCCCAGGACCTGTGCCTCCCTAGGCTTCGCCGCAAGATGGCCGCACTGAGTTCAGGACAGGCCTCCCTAGGCCTGCCCTCAGCCCTAACGCGACTGCGCGCTCGGCCCTCTGCCGCACACTCCCGAGGTCCCACCCCAAGAGAACCACAATACGTCCTGGCCACGCCCTTAGCCTCTGCCAGGCTCTACGCTCTCGATCTTTCTTAGTTCCCAATAACGCCTCTAGTCTTGCCCCGCCCTTCTCTCAGGCTCCTCCCAGTCCCTCCTGAAGGTCACCGCCCAGCGCCCCGGCCCCGCCCATAGGTCAATACACCGCGGGACTTCTCCTGGCCCCGCCCCTAGCTCCCAGGATCCTCCACTAGTTCTGACTCTTGCCCGCACTCTCCACCCCACTCTTCCGCCCCAAAGCCGCAGCAAGGATGGAATCTGTTCGCCTCATATGCATAATCTGTCAGCCAATGGCGAAGTCTCTCCGCTGGAGGCAGGCGGAGCTTGACGGCGCGACCTTCCTCACGCCTCACGGCAGAGCGGAGTGTGCTGGATCCCGAGTGACCTGGCTCTGATTCATGCCTGTGTTCTGGGCCCTAGTGGAGGGGCGCGGCCAACGCAGACGGACGGGACCGGTGCGGAAGTGGAGGGGCGG